CCCCAAAACCCCAAAACCCCTCAATTATATCTTGTCTTTAATTTCAGATAAAAATTTATTATCAATTATAATAATTTTAATAAGATATATTTTGATATATAATTTCATTTTTTCCAAATGTCTTCTCTTTTATAATCTTGGAAATTATAGTTTTTATGGTTGTTAGTAAATTAGTCATTAAAATGACTTTAATCATATGATTAAAGGTCTCTGAATCCAATATTAAGAAAATATTCTCTCATATAATCATCTTCTTTAACTTGTATTTTCTTCTCACTGCCATTTAATGGCTTGTTTTAAGATTAATCCTCCAAATCGCAAGAATCTTTTTTCTTTAATGAACTATATTGCTCCTACTAAAGACCTAATTATAATCTTTTAGTTTTAGTTTTTTATGTGGATCTATGTTTAACTCCTTTTCGCTTGTATACATTCCTTGCCGTTAACTAATCTTTCCTTGCATATGCTAGAGATTCAATTGGTTAACCTATTTGATCAAAGTTAAAATCATGTTCGATCTCAATTTCATCTTTAAATATGCTTTAGTTATCTTTTAGAGTTGAATTTTATTATTAAGCAAAGAAGTTAGAATCATATTTTGATTATCCTCTATTCTTGATAATCTTCATTTAGGTCTATCTTTATTTGACGAAATAAATTTCTTCTTAATCTCCAGTTTATTTTTAAAAGATTTTTGTGGTTTCTAATTCTAAAAATTAAAATTCTGAAGTATTTTTCCTCGGCGATTCTTAATATTTATTTTCCTCAAATATATCTCTAGTTTTATTTTTTGAAAATAATTTTTACCACACAATTTTAACCTTATCTTTCATAATTTTTAAATTATTTTTGAGGGAATAAAATGATTGAATTACTATTAAAGTGATATTTCCAATTATGTTTATAGCAACTATCGCTATCAATTACCAACCCATGAAGTATTGTTTATCAATATCTGATTCATAATCTGTAAACAGATACATATAATAGGATACCATAAGAATTGTTAGCTCATTAAATATCTCCATTTGATTTAATAACTTAGATTCAAAGGGTTTTACACTGATAATATAAATTAATATTAATAAACTTGTAAATTAGAAAGTTTAAATTTAAAAGGCTGAGTAGTCTTAGAGTATTACAGCTGTCATAGAAAATATTAGTCTTCTTATCAAGTAAATAACATTGTATAGAATCGTGATGACTTTATCTTAATCAGATACTCTTATTTGATTATAAATCGCACCAATCCTCTCTTTAATGTTTTCATTGTTTAATTTATTTCTGAAAATAAAAGCAATGAACCAAATTGCAAATGGAAATATAAGCATCACTACAAATAAAGCAATAGCAAATATAGAAGCAAATTAATCACTACCGGTATTATATTGAAGCTATAATAAATTATTTTTGTAATTATGATACATTCTGTAAATTTAGTCCTGCATTGATAGAAAATTCCATATAACCCTCTAAAAATATTCTTATAATCATGTTAAAGAAGAGTTATTTTGATATAAATTTTAACAATTTGTCTATTCTAATTTCAAAAGTTATTAAAATATCGCTTACAATACAAAATACTTTGCTAAAATCTTAAGTAAGATACAAAGAAAAATCAAAGATATTGTTCCAATTAAATAAATGAACATGCTTCCTAAATTTGATATAGAATTTGTTGATTCATAACTTTCAAATATAGGAATAATATGTTGTTCAAAAGCATTAATATTATTAAAAAGATATCCAGCTAATCAAAATTTTCTTTTGAATACGAATCACTGAATTAAAATACTTAACTTTCAATTTATGGTGCTGGTAAAATATCGAAACTTGATAATCCAATAATCAAGTTAAAGAAAAAAACAGCATTTGTTGGAAATTATAGATTGTATAATGGTAAGTGCATGATCATTTAGAATACATTTATCATTCCCCACAAAAGTTGTAAGGAAGTTGCTCTGTAAAATTTATAAGTTTCATTATGACTTACAGTAAAATATTAATTGCAAAAGTCCCATAGACAACTGAACCTACTCCAGTTGACACTGAGCTACCTACTGCTAGTAAAGCTTTAGTAGCAGCATCATTATAAATCTATCTAGGGATCAATCGATTTGTCTCGTACATGTATGAAATAAATTGATTTGATTTTTTATCTCTAAACAAGCCATTTCCCTTGAAACTAATTGATAGTTTATTTTTACTCTATATGAACAAAATAAAGGTAGTTTTAATTTTACCTTTGAAGATACCAACTTTGGCTCCTTAAAAACTAATTTAAGTGTAAAACTTGCTTCATCAAAATGGATAATTTTCCAAGTATAATTTAAATTTTTGTCAATATTACCATCTCCGTCTTTTATTCGTATTAGAAGTATTCTTTAGTCTATTAATTCAAACTTATTTGGAATATTAACCTCAGAACTAAACTAAATTCTTGCTATTCCTTGATTTGATATTTTTCTAATATATGCAATAAGTGTTTTATTTGATATTTTTGTATCATAATTGTTGCTTTATGTGTTTAGAACAGAAAAATTTGTATTACTTTCCGTCTAAATCTCCAAATTATAAGTATAAATAGTTGAAGCTGTTGTATTATTATTTTCTGTTTAATTTAGATGATTAGGAGAATCCTAGCCTTAATTTTCTTATGTTTACGTCTAGGTTTTCTTTTCAATTTAGATATTAAAACTGTATGTTTATTACTTAGGATTTGGATTTATATCTACTACTGTTATCAATATTTTAAAGGTTCCAAATATATTAGGAGTAGACAGTATTTTATAATTTGGATATGATCCTTGTATGAATTATGAAGCCTACCCAAAATTCACTGAAACAACATGTGATTAATCCCCATCTGAATCTATTAAGTCAGGGAATAAAAATTCCTAAGTTTCTCCTTAAGATAATTTTATATTCTGCAGCGGCTAAGTATACTTTGGAGGACTGTTGTTTATTGGAATTAATTTAAGCGGTATAGAAAGAATAGCTTTTATTTGATCATTAACATTATTTACCACACCTTATATCTCCAAAACATAATCTGGATTGTAGGCTTCTAAATTATCTTATAAATTTATTTTAATTCTTCTTTGATTGATCTCAGATCTATTTATAAATGTCGCATTGGTATTATATCCTTTAACTTCCAGGGTGTAAATTATAGGATAAGTGCAATTTTAAATCTTAATGAAGTCTTCAAAATATATAAAATAATCACCACTACCTATTCTATATTAAACTTATTCTAAGATATACCTATTCTATCCATTTAAGATTAATGGTATTAATTAGTCAACATGGCATTAATATAATAGAGTAACTTGAAATTAAACTGATTTTATTGCTTGACTAACAAAAGCATTTACAATAATTGTTATTATAGTATTATTTTTATTAGGATCATTAGTCTGAATTTAAAATTATCTTTAGCTATTGTCAAATTAAATAACATCTAAAAATGGGAAATTGTTAAGTCCATTATAAGTAGCACTGTAACTCATTGGACCACACCTTAAATTACTGAGATCAGTAAATTCATTAAACTAAAGAAGCATTTATGATTATGTTATAGTGTACTAAACTTGATCGGGTATTCCAAAATTAGTTTATAATATCACGTTTTATGAGCAAGATACTATGACAGATAAGGTGAAACTGACTTCCTCAAAATTATCAATCCCTATTTGCCCTTTAACTTTTATCAGGTGTTAACCTATATCGGTTGTTGAAGATGTGTGGACTTAGAAAGTTCAAGTGACTTAATTGAATGCAATAAAATTAGGAGTAGTGCTTGAGCCATTAAAAGTTACTGTATAAGTTAACTAGGTACAATAAGAAATAGAGGAGATCCAAGAGTCAAATTAAATTGATTTAATTGGATCACTTGTAATGTATTCCTAATCTTGAATGGGTTAAGTCGTTATTTGTGATGTAGGACATAAATTTGTAATTGTTATGCTCAAAGTTTCTGAACTAGATACTGAAGCATGAGCAAATCCAGTTACAATTATTGAGTATTATTTTGGGATAATGCTGCTTGATACTGAAATTTAGATTTAGTTATTATCTATGATATTAAATACAGTGTTAATAGGGGCAAGATTGGTAGCTGAGTCTATTAACTTATAAGTCATAGGACATAATGCAATCATGTCATTAGTCCATGGTATTTCAGCAATATAATTCTTAGTTCCATTATTTATGTCAAAGCTAAGAGTAGGCAAGGCAGATTTTGTAATAACAGCACATCTGCAGTCTTTAGTAACTGTTATAATTACTCTTTAGGAAGCTTGTTTGCTATTAAGTTATCCAGTAATCAAAAATTAATGAGTGCCAACTTGATTTATATTATATGTTTAAATTCTAAAAGCCCCTGTTATAGAGTTAAATATTGTTAAATCATTGTTTTAGCAATCAGAGAGCGAGATTTCGTTCTGACATGTATAAGTTGAAATAGTACCACAATGTGGACTCAGATAAGATTGAATATAATTAGAAAGTTGCAATAACTACTAATCATGCACAATGTAATTTATACTAATATCAGCTGAAGATGTCAAATAATCAAACTAGCAATCAATTTACAAGGTTACTATAAAACTATAAGATAGCATTATAGCAGTGTAATCTTAAAGATGATTTTCTACTTTCACAGTAATTGGTGAAACTGCCATCATAGTCTTATCTTTAGTAAAAATAGTAATACTGTTGTTAGATTAGTAATAAGTGAAAATAGCTGGATCCAAAATGTTGTTTTAATCATCAGTCACTGTTTAAATGATTGCTCCACAGCTGATAGAGACTGTAGGGTAAGAAATTGTAGGCAATGATAGTCTCTTGACTGGGTCTTCATTAATATAAATCGCTTAATCAGCAACAGCAAATGACTATGTAAGGGTAACAGAATAGCAAGGACTAGTGAACTCAACACTGAAAGTAATGAATTAAGAAGCAGCATCACCAGCTGTCTTCCCAATAATTTTAAAAGTCTTAATGCCTAGAGTTTAAGTATCGAGAGTTTCATAACTAATAGTTCAAATGGAAGGGTAAAATTATACCCAAGATGGCTTTG